CTGGCCGTACCCATGTGATACGTTTCTATGGGGATTCTGGTCAAAAATCACCACCTCATTTTTGGGTCAACAATCGGCACCAGCAGGACTACCACTGGGACCACCACGGCTACCCCACTGGGACCACCAGGACTACCACACTGAGACCACCAGAACTCCCACACTGGGACCACCAGAACTCCCACACTGGGACCACCAGCACCCCCAAACTGGGACCACCAGACATTAAACTCCAATGCCCAGTGTGCAAACTTCGTCTGACTCCACCCTAACCCTCAGCTCATCATCCCTACCAGGGTAAATAAAACGAGGACCGCATTGTGAGGAAGCCAACAACGGTTGTCCTTTGGATAGACCGACCGCCATCGTAGCATTGTGGAATTCTACCACACGTTCACGGCTCAAACAATGAGGGACGAAGACCGCCTCAGTACTTACTTGGACAGGAGAAAGAAAGGGCGGCTACGTGGTACTTGTAGCCTCGGCTACTGCCAAGCGTCTGGCATGTACACAGGGCGGCTACGTGTATACAGTATGACCTTTGCTAAACCCTTATTGCACTGTGCTTCGGAGCAGCGCATGGGTAAGGAACATGGGCAAGGTTGACCTACACTAACCCGAACGCCACGCTGGACTCCGGGGTGGAATGGGACAAATTCCACTCTCGAGGCATCGCAGATACATTTCAAAGAAGGTTCTGTCCAGCTGAAATAGGTGATGCTTAGCTATGATAAGCCGAACATGGCCGAAGCTTACTTAGGTTAGACTTGCAAAAGATTCGAAACAAAATCCCTTTCTATCGCACGAATCTTCCATGGCAGAATCCCTGTTAAGAGCCCCATTCAAGAGAATGGAGATTCCAACACGGAAATCAGAATCTTTATTTTAGAGATGAGAAATACGATGAGTTACAAAGCTCTTTTTCGCAGATGTCAAGTATGGGCAGGAATGACCGACAATAAGAGAAACAAAAGAAACGCGAAACGTGAAAGAATCTCAGCCTAACCACACATTGAAAAGAAATCGTTACATTTTGGATGTGCATCTCTTTAAGCTTTGCCGTAAGAGGTTGCGTGGCAGATTGGACAGAGTGATTGCCATTGCCACACTTGTTCAAAACGGGGGAAAGATCACAGGGGGTAGAGGTTGTGTAAGATATACAACCTCTAAGAATGTCAACAAAATGTCACTGTCAGGCAATTCACACGGGATGTTTACACGTGCTATCATAGTAGCACACAAACTTACAGCACATCTGTGATACAATCAATGAAAGGTACAAACGCTAGACACATTGTAAAAGCTGTTAATGTGTACAGGTCGTAGGGCAGCATTCAGCAGTGGATTAACAAAGGGTTGAATGCGAACATTGTGTAAATGGATGTATTTGAAAAGATTGAAGATTCTTGTTCAAAAGCACAAAGTTCGCACGCCTATGCTTGATAAGATCTGGACACGGTGACCCTGGACATTGGTGCTATTGCTAAACATAACACTACCTCACCTCCGATTGTGCAACACACGTGTGTTATTCCTGGAACCCAGCGAACGCCAATTAAAAAATAAACTATTTCCTATTTTGTTAGGTAAGGCGCACTGAGCTAATTGGCTCTTTTGCAGAAGCGACCGGGCCACAAATGATGGCTCAACGAAGTGGCTCATCACGTGGAAATGTATCGCAGCCAAATAATCCTAAATGCACGTTGATTATAAATGCGGAGGGAAAAACCTGAGAACCCAGAGAAAAATCCACGCGACCACGGGGAGAACACGTGCGTTAAATTACTACGCACCCCATACATTTAGGAATGAAAAATGTAATGCTTTCTGTGGAGGGCAGTCAAAAAGGCTTGATTATAATGTACATTTACAAAGCACCACTCCCATCAATGCACTGTATTCTATTACAAATGAGTCCGTCCCATCAGTAGAAATATCGAGGTACTGTGGAGGAGAGGCCACGGCAGAGTGGCATTACACTGCAGTCTGCATGACTGTCGTCTATGTGGGAACTTATAGCATCAGCCAAATGATCAGAACACACGTTTCTAAACATGAATGGTAAAACCGGAGGATCTATAGAAAAATCTATGCGACCACGGGGGAAGCATGGAAACTGCAAATATATGGGTGTTAGGGTCGGGATCGGACCCACGACCTCCTGCATACCAGGTGAGGAAGTTAACATCTCGCCACCACAGCGCCCCAATTAGCCAATGCCTCACAAAATTATATGGCCTCCTGGCAAGAGGCGGACCGAACACGTTGTTTAGGTGTTGCACAATTCAACCGCAGTTGAAGGTCACTTGACCTTGCTCGCAATGTCACATGGACTGTGAAAGATAAACTGCAACTTGACTTGAACACAAGGATCTATACATGTTACACTTGCACACTCTCACCTACCTGCTATTCACATGTGCGCCCCAGATTTTAGTGAACAGTGGCAAAATGGTTATCACACTACTGCTGATATCGGGGTGACCAGAGTCCAATTCCTGGACATGCATAACATGAGTGGCGAATACCTAAACTGGTCCTGCACCTTGCCTAGGTTGACTCAGTCTTAAATTAGTACCTGGTGCAGTGTATAAACATCAGTTACTGGGGAAACAAAGGTGGCCGTGCATGATGCTCGCCACACACCGCCCCCATCTTTCGGCATACTGGCCTTCATTAGTAGTGGTCGCCGACAGCACTTGCCCCAATCGCTCTATACAGCAAGAGGGACATCGTTGCCTTTTTGCATTGAACATTAACACAGACAGTTGGTACTGTACACAAATGACAGCCTCGTAATACAGTGGCTCTGCCACCACTTCCATAGTAATTAATTGGGCCACTACACAACACGGCAGACCATTATCATTACTTCTGCAGAAGGCTAATAATCTGGAAGGACTTGAGTCAGCAAAGACGCTTGCGATTAGCGGGCTCAGTCACAAGACTGATGACAGAGGCAGTGCACGGACACAGCCCGGAGACCCTTGCGTGCGACCCACCCTATCTCTGGCAACGTCTAACGCCAGCTCAGCCTGGCGAGGAGCAGATAAAACGGCCGCGTATACCCCGCGCACAGGGGTGGGGGTGTGCGTAGAGTGCCCGGCGGTCTCCCAGTGGGATGGATACCCTCGAAGAGATGTTCAAATGTATGGTGATAAGCAGCATTTTACACACGATGACCAATGCTTGGGCATGAATGCAAAACGTGTATTGCATTGGCGAAGGACTGTGAATGCCGGCACGGCGCACGATGGGCAGTGTGGTCAGGACAGCAGAGGCGGTTCATTTTTAGTTGAATTAGGGGAATGTCCTGGTATTGCGTGACAGACAGCCACTAAAACATGCACTCTCAATTAGGGTACACGCATCAACACTTAGCCTCGAGCACACAATCACACAAATCAACAGGGGAAAAGGGCCCCTCCCTGTTTATCACCATAGACCACACAGGCCAGAGCTGTTAGTGAGCATGTATTGTGCCGATACTTGCTGTTTGTATCGCGAATGATGTAACCGTGATTGTAACTAACATCTGTACTGCACAATATCTGTACTGTCGCAGGACACCCATGAATCAGAGCCTAACATCTTATTGGGCCCTTCCCCCTGGAATGAATAAATAAATAAATATCCTATCTATCTTCATAAAAACTGTTAATCCAAACCCACAGCTTAAGTCTAAAATATATGTACCTCGGCTGTGTTTTGCTTCCCAGATCGTCTGATTGTGTGAAACTGAATTAATGATTAACAAAAAAAAAACACTTCAAAGTTATTTCTAATCTTGTCATTATTGTACTCCAGTTTTGTTGCCAAGGTGTCATGAATGTACATTTGAACACATCGATGGAGTGACGCTACTTGAGCGATATGGATAAAGTGCCAAATTGACATTTTAAGATCTTTGCATCTCATGAATGAAACTTTCAAATTAGCGTGCAACAGTCTGGAACGAAAGAGCTAGGTACGAATCCACACAAGCTGTTTTCGAATTGAGTCGTCACCCGGACAGGTGGCTCAATGGTCGAGCGAGCAGCTCAGTGGGAAAGGTTGCGGAGTTCAAATCCTGGTTGGCGATTGACTCGGCCCATCATCCCTCCGGGGTCAATCAAATTAGTAACGCTGTGTGGGGGAAATCAACTGTGGTTGTCCTATGGACAGACTCGCACACCCCGCCGTTGGAATATGGAATTCCCAGCACCTACTCAGAGCTGCACACGGGCAAAGAGCACCGCCACAGTGCTAATTCAAGCAGGAAATCACTGACTTCACTTCCTTTAATGGCACAGACATTACTAATACACTAGCTGTGACATATCCATAAACATTTATGAGTCTGCCATGCAGCACAGCAGCCTGTGATCATTACTTTTACGGGTTAGTGCTCCAGTCATTAATATGACCATATAAACTTACTGCATATGCATATATCTTAACAGTTATTGGGGTTGCAATTCACATTGTGCTCGAATAACTACCATTAACTTGATTACGTAATTATTTGGAAAATCGATAGGGCATAATGTGCACCTGTATTGCCCGTTGCAGAGAAACAATTCCATATTGGAACAAATGTGCGTGAACATTGAGGCCAAATCTCCGGTAACCGTGCCCCCATCATCACATCTCAGAAGCTGGATAACACACTTGGATAGGCAACCACCAGGCAAATTAGGTTGTTTGTAGGCTGCTGCGGGGCTACGTGCTTGCCAGCAGAGTGTAGCAAATTGTCGCGCTGTACTCCTTATGCTTCACACCTTCATCGGACGCAGCACTAGCCAGCGTAGTGAAGTACTTCAAAGGCCCTCAACCAGCAACGGATTGACAAACGGGCCGCGCGTGTGCACCGGAATATTGTAAAAGTTACTCAGCTTTATGTCTTTCAGTTACACGTCCGCGCTTATTACTGTACCCCCCCCCCCCCCCCAGTGAGTGAGCGTGTGGCTCTGTGGCTCTGTAGCAAGTGCATGCGGCCACTAGGGCCCTTGGCGGCTCACTCGTGTCCAGGGTGTCCTGCACGGCCATAAATCCCACGGGCAGCGTCTCCTTCTCTCCCACCAGCTTCATGTCCACCACCACGTTGTCGCCATGTCCCTGCGGGTCACACGCACACACATCCCCCGTTCAACCCCGATACGGCGGCAGTCAAGCAGCACGAGCTGTTAGCGAGTGCCTATTAACCCTTTCCCATGATTGGTACCGAGGCTACCATAAAGCGATCGTGTCGCTACAGTTCTTTGCGGCGAGTAAAATGTCTTTAAAAACAACGGCACTACGTCTCTCTAAATGAAATTAACACCGAGGCCGCTAGTGCGTTCCGAGATTCAGCTGCGAACGGGACCCCCACCCCCCCGCACCCTGCAACTTGCAGACACGTCGGAATAGGAAAGTGTTAACGGACATGGCATGCCACAAACGAAATCAAACGAATGCCGTTGATTTTGTACGATAATATCGTACCGAGGCTGTCTGTCCTGGGCTGTCCAAAGTGAGTGGTGAAGTTTCGTTTAATAATGGGGGGGGGGGGGGGGATGAAAAATACTTTAATATTAAGGTCAAGCCCATCATTATGGCACTCCAGTGATGTCACAGCCATATTATTACTGCAAATTTTACGATGTGAATGACGTGAAATCAGTGGAAGGCAATGAAGGAGTACCTGCCGAGAATGTAAAAAAAAATTCTCATTCAGGAAGCTTGAACGACCCAGGACACAGAGCATCGTTATTCTTCTTGTCACGACAATACATTGAATCATTGATTAAAATCGAATCTCGTATTCAGTAAACATCCACCAATAAATTGTTTACGATGTACTTATATGCAAATGTTACATTTCAGAAAAGCGAGCGAAGCAAGGTGTATGAATGACACAGGGACAACTGGAAACAATACCAATGAGATGACAGAAGAGACCAAAAATCAATTATTCAATCAATGAAAACTGTGACCCCAATTCGAGAAAAACCCACGGAATCATTGGGGGAGCAGGGGTGGTGAATCATTGCTTATTTTCTAAGCACTATTTATATTGGCATCGTCCTCTAAGGCTGGCAAAGCAAAGGAGGTGGAACAGCAACACACCCTATATATTTTTTTATTTTACAGGGTAAGGCCCACTGAGCTGTATAGCTCTTTTTCAGAAGCGACCTGGCCACAAATTATAGCTCAACCAAGTCGCTTATTATGTGGACATTTCTATAAGAAAAATACTCGAAATTCATGTTTATAAATGTGGAGGGAAAAACCGGAGGACCCGGAGAATGATCCACACGACCATGGGGAAAACACAGAAACTCCAAATATACAGGTGTCAGGGTCGGGATTGAACCCACGAACTTCTGCATACCGGGCGAGGTAGTTAACATCTCGCCCATGTGGAACACCACCCAGCCACTGTTCCCCAGTACTGCTGTTCACACACCATACTATGGGCTAATTGAAGGCCGAGTAGGCTAAGGATATTCCCAGGACTGGCTCCAGCACCATGTATCAATGATGTTGTATTTCAGTACACAATGCCTGACACACACAAACATCTACCACATACCGATTTTGTTATTTATAATATCCACCCACATTGAAGCTAATAATAATACTTTTTTGTTATGTATTATATAACCTAGTGTCGAATAGAACCCATATCTAAAAGGGGTCTCTGCCACTAGCATCTGGCAACTGACCATCACTGCTTCAAGAAAACCGGGCTGCGTATGCAACACTGTATGTTGAAACCGGTCCAGAATTTACTTGTACCGAATCAATGCTGCTGAATTATACACTCCCAGAAGTTTTAGTGATTGTCTGCTTATCTGTTTTGTGACTAAATATGTGGCTTATATGTATGTAAACACGATCATGCATTGCTGTTGAACATTATGGGTACACACAATATAAGCGACAGTATATTCTGTATCTCCACACATTTATTGTTTTCTGCTTATATTTGCTTGTATCTATACGCATGCTTGACTGTCCGGAGAATTCATCTTAAACTGCTCCAGTAATTTGAAGGATTGAGGTGATATTGGAATGATGATATGTAGATTACGTGAGTGCCACTGGAGAGGGGTGTGTTGACACGACAGTTGTTTGCTACAATGTTTATAAAAAAAAGTGACAAATTGTCTAACCATTGAAAACCATACATTTCAGGAGAACTCCCGAGAAGTAAATTACGACCATTACAACTCAACTGGTTTCCCACCAGTTCAACATACGCAGGCACAAGCGCAGGCTGGAGAACTGAATTTGCTTGCTACCCTCTGCACTATCGCTGTGTTTAGTGATGGAAGTTCGCACACTTTACCCAACCACTGTCGCACTGCTGATCGACCGACTATGGCGTACCCATTAATACTGCCGAGTGGACAGACGCCGCGTGGAATTTAATAAACCTGCCCTAATGTTTCAACTGCCTTGCCTGGAGATCTAACCGAAGGGATCTGGATCGTAAGTGAGGTGTGCTAACCATTCCACCACGGCAGTGGTTACAGCAGTATCCACTCTGTGGGGCAACTACTTCAAAGTGTTGGCCACACTCTGCAGCAGCTTCAACATAACACAGGCTAATATTTCAAACACCTCGGGCTATTCACGCCCGCGTATGATCACCCCCCCCCCACCCCCATACTTCTTTAATTGGATTTCGCAATGTCCTTTATGTGACCTTTATTTAACGAGGTGAGACCCTAGTAGCTAGGTACGATGGCGCATGCCTTCCACCAAGAATAAAGAGGCAGGGGTTAGTGGATCGCATGGTGATGAGGATGTAAATGAAGGAGTCTGACCTCGCTGTTAATCTACTGCAGCGTGAACAACTGCAGTCCGCGTGACCCCTCCCCATGGTCCAGCTTTCCATCATTAACAACAATCAGGTGCAACCAGTCAGCATGCTCTAATTTGCATACGAATAGAAAATATTGATAATCACGAAAATGTGGATCGTAAGGGCTTCGCAAGGACTGGAGTTGAAAAACACTGATCTACACAAACACATTAAACTCTGGGACAATATATATTCTTGGTTCTTTCGGTAAAGTCACGTAGAAGGGAAACAATAACATAATAAAAATATAAAACAATAAAATTATCACGACGTTTCGACTGCAACACAAGCAATCATCATTAGGTGTGAAAACCACGGCAAGAAAATCTTGAAAAAAGTGGCGGTTTTTATTTGTTTTTTTTTAACGTTAGCACCACGGATAGCAATTTGATAGTTTGTTTAGATGGATGAGTCCATCTATGTTCGGAAAAGAGGAGGGGGGAGACGAAAATAATGGATGCGGTCTGAAAGCCATCGTAAGCGTGAACAATCAATTAAGACCCGAAATGGTTTATCAAATCCTTCCAATGATTGCTAAACCAGAATTCATCTTCTCGGTTGAAATTGTCTCTGTGTTTGTATATGTGGATAGACTCATCAACGAATCTCTCATGGTAGCCAGATGGCTTGCAGAGAACCTCTGTCTTGGAGAAGTCAATGTCATGTGAGCCTACTGAATTATAACAGTGATCTGCCACGGCCAAAGTGTTGGTCCTACCGTGTTTTAGGTCTGCTTTGTATTCACGGATGCGGTCCGAGACATGTCGTTTGGCTTCTCCAATGTAACTACTACCACAGAGGCAACTTAGTTTGTAGACGCCAGGGTACTGTATGTCAGGAATCACATCTTTTACAGACGGAACCAGATCACGGATTTTATGTAATGTGTTGAATCGGACCTGGATCTTGTTTATTCAAGATTTTGGAGATCTTTTTTGTGATCCCCCCAATGTAGGGTAAAGTGATGGTTTTGAATGGCTCCTCAAGAGGGTCCTTCTTCATGGTTGGAGTGATAGCTTTGCGGATTGTGTAGTCGGAGTAACCATTAGCATTAAGAACTTGGTGTAAGTGCTTGAGTTCACTGGCTATGTGTTCCTAGTCGGATATGCATTGGGCTCTATGGTGCAGAGTCTTGATGAGGGAATTCTTTTGAGATGGATGGTGGTGGGAATCCGGATTCAGGTAAGCATCCGTATGGGTAGCTATCCTGGAGACAGGGTGGCTCATTGAACCATCAGGTCTATTTTTATGAGGACATCCAAAAAAGGTAGCTTGCCATCTTTTTCGACTTCCATGGTAAATCTGATGGCTGGGTATATGGAATTGATGTGGTCGAGGAATTGGTCTAGAGCAGGCCGGCCATGTGGCCAGATGACAAAAGTGTCATCCACGTACCTCTTCCATAAGGTTGGGCGCAGAGTGGCAGTCTGGATGGCGTCAGTCTCAAATTTCTCCATGAAAATGTTGGCTACAACCGGAGATAGGGGGGAGCCCATTGGGGTGCCCTCAGTTTGTTTGTAGAAAGTTCCATTCCAAGTGAAGTATGTATTGGTTAAGCAGTGTCTCACCAGGGGGGTACCTCAGTGTTTAGTCCTTGATGAACCAAGTCTTCAATGATTGCGATGGTGTCAGGTACAGGAACTTTGGTGAATAAGGAAACTACATCAAAACTGACAAGCAGGTCGTCTGGGGACAGGGAAATACCCTTGATTGTCGATACCAGGTGAGTAGAATTTTGTACCGCAGAGGTGGTTTTTCCAGTGAAAGGCCGCAGGATTTCAGACAGAAAACAAGCCAGTTTGCAGGTGGGGGAGTTGATAGTAGAGACGATGGGACGAAGGGGTGCATGTACTTTATGTATTTTGGTAAGCCGTATAATGTTGGTGGCCTGGCAGCAGAAGGTTTCAACGAGAACTGTTTGGTTTGATCAATTAATGCGCTTGAATCAGAAATGATTGTTGGTTTTGTATGACGAGGCTGTTGGTGAGGTCTCTTTTTATATTTGGATAGCTGCCATCATTGAGTAATTTTTGAATTTTGTTGTTATATTCTATTCTATCCATGACAGTGGCATTGCCCTTGTCGGCTGAGAGGATGACAGTGAATCCCTCTTTTTTATTTCTATAATTCAAAACGCTCATCTTTGCTGAAGTTGCTAGCTGGCATCTTAGCGTTTTTGAGGGTTGCAGCGATTTCAGATCTTGCTACATCTGCAGTGATGTGACCCAGGCCCTTGAGAGCCACGTCTACTTGGGCAATGATATCATTAACTGGGATATGTTTAGGTGTGACTGCAAAGTTTATCCCTTTAGCTAAAACGGATTTCAGACCATCAGAAATAGAACTGTTACTGCGATTAATTACGACTTTGTTAACATCTAGCTTTTTGGTGTGTGGGTCCGGTCTTTTGTTGGAGAGGTTACATTTGGAAATCAGGTTGTCCTCACATTTGGTCGCCATAGTGGCAGCTGAAGAGGGAGTCATATTGTCTACATGTTCCCAATCCGATATGGACATTGTTGCCGTCAATGATAAGTGTGATTTGTAGAGTGTCTTGTCTAACTGATCTAGTTCAGTGCGTTAAAGTCTAATTTTCTCTGAGATAAAAGCTAAGCTAGTTCTGGAAAGAATTCGTTTCGCATTAGAAGAAGTTACAGCAGCAGAGGTCAGTGTAAATGTGATTGGTATTACCCCAGAGTAGCGGCATCTCTTCAGAAAGGTGAGAGATTCGATCAGCTGAGCCTTCTTTTCCCGGAGTCTGATGAAGGATCTCAAAGCTATGTGGAAACCCTCCCCGTAGAGGCGGTTAAATTTTGATTTAAAGCTTTCGTGACTGCAGGAATTCATATTCTTGGTTCTTTCGGTAAAGTCACGTAGAAGGGAAACAATAAAATAATAAAAATATAAAACAATAGCATTCTCACGACGTTTCGACTGCAACACAAGCAATCGTCACTGGTAATACAGGTGTGAAAACCACGGCAAGAAAAATTTGAAAAAAGTGGCGGTTTTTTTTTAACGTTAGCACCACGGAGAGCGATTTGGCAGTTATTCAGATGGACAATGTTTTACATTATGTTGAAATTATCACATTTACAGAATAAACATAAATGGTTATTGTTTGGACCGGCTTGCGCAGCTTGGACCCATCAAAACAAGACTGATAGTTTTACTATCGAATAAAAAAATACGCCAACGGGTTTTGCAAAATAAAGTCTGGGCTTTCGAGTGTCTACTCCTGCCTGCAATTATAAACATCAGAGAGCACCGTCCTTTCATGTTAATCCGAGTTGGTGTTTAATAGGTCAGAGTATCCCCTAATATGCCTCATGCTGCGTCGTGGCGCCATGGAAGCACTTTTTATCTTCAATTACCCTGCCAGGTTCTAAAGCGAATTGAATCAAAGATTAATATATTTATCGCGTATGCGAGTGGGCTTGTGCACGCCCACATGCACGCAGAGAGCACATACAATGATGCCCTATCGTACACGTTGCATGTGCTTGTACACAAGTGTTCATAACAGTATCACCCATTTCGACTAATTATAAATAAGGCAGCTCTTTGAACTGTGGCAAGTTGAATGTCAGGTTAAATGTGAGAAAGAAAAAAACTCAAAAGCTTCAGTGGCCTTTTGACGGCGGCGCGTAACAGAAGCCGTCGAAAAATGATCACGGCCGAGAAGTTGGCGAGCACCTGCGACTCGTCTCGAATAGCGAGGCGATGACGAAGCTCGTCGCCCACGCCACGACGGGGCACGCGCGCAGGTTCAGCCGGACCAGACTCGTGCGATAAAAATCTCCACGCTGCCACGTGCGAGTGTAGGTTTATCGACCCGGCTCACACCGCTGTGCAATTATTCCTCAATTGGATTATGAAATTACTCAATTGGAATAGACATAGGCGATCATTGCTCCCGACTGAATAAGCTTGGCAGAACAATTATTAAAAAAGAGTCAGGAGACTCTCAGTGAGGCTTTCCTGGGTAAATAAGCGTATAAATCATACAATCATTTATAATTCTTTACTAAACGGATGACACCTTCATGGGTGCCCTGTATCACCTAATCGTCACCGGTAATACGATGGATATAATTACAACGTACGTTATATATTATCTTGTCTGTAGGTGCTGTGACAAAGTACCCAACTCACAATCAGGTCATGTGTCGGCACAGCCTATCATCTTCTCCGTGGTCATTAAAATTAGTGCCACTTCACATGAAGTAAAGAGTGGTTATGTTATAGCTAGCCTGGCCCCACCATAGGAATGTAGAATGTCTACAAATGAATCAGGACTGCCAATGAAGATGAGAATGGCTCAATGCTTGATTGAACAGTCACTTATTGACCGATCCACACACACATGACATAAACATGGACGTGCAGCCCCTTTGTCAATCCAATGCTGAATGAGGCCCTTCCTACGTTGTGCAGGTACACACACACACATAAATAAATAGTAACTTGATTAAGAATGCCAACAAGTATAAGCCTAGTCCAAATCTGCAATATTACACACTCTGAAATAGAAGCTACTGACCTTGAAATGACGCTTGCCAAAGGTTTCTAAGTGAATCAAGTTTCCTTTCAGTTGTGATTCATTTATTTAATCTAACGCATACTCTGTCAAATAAAAAAAGTCAGTGTCTTACTTACCAAGTTAATAATTCATATCAGTTAGTGGCCCTAAGCCAATGACGGGCATTCCACATTACCATGGCAGGGGCATAATTTTTGATGTCCCATGAGTTGGTACTCATTGTATTTACTCAGGAGTGATGCGCCGATTTGACCACCAACCGGGATTCCAGCTCACGACCTTCCGAGTCGTAATCGATACACTTAAAAATCTGAGTGTGCTATTTAATGTAGTGCATAATTATTAATTAATTACAGGCTGCATTGTTATCCACTGCTGGATTAAGGCTTCCTTAAACCTCGTCGGTCAAGGGCTTTGTTTGACCATCCACACTGCCCAGCGCGGGTTGGTGGTTGGTGAAGGGAAGTCTCGGGCGAATTCAGGCACCAATCTCGCTTATGATGTTAGCCATGCGCGAGCATCACACTCGGGCTGCCAGGCTGATAGTGCAGTGCGTGAACTTCTGCACCACCCCAATGTATTGTATATGGAGCACACAACATAATTCATAAGTGCTTCCCTTGACCACCGTTGATAGGACAGTCCGGTCCCTTCACCTGATGAAGGCCACTTGTGTTGTGGCCGAAACGTCGTTATTTGTGTTATTTTATTTTTACCTACGTGACTTTACCGAATAGAACCAAAGAGTATGGATCCTTGCAGTCACGAAAGCTTCAAATCTAGAATGTACTGATTCTCTGAAATGTTGAAGTTTTTGTCTTATTGTTTTCAGTGCTGCTGTGCTCATGCACCACGGATCTCCATTGTAAACTGACCGGGTAACTGGCTCAAATGGAATCATCTTTATACCAAATCACAATAAATGTAATAAGGTGACAGAACAATTTCGCAAACAGCTAAACAAATGTCGATATTGTTGAATGTTTTCACCTAAAAATGATGGCACTGCAGACTGGTACACAAACGTGTCTATGTTCAGCTAAGCTGGACATCTGTGAAAAAGCGATTCATAGCTCATCGGATTCCTCCAGTCAAAATAAATATTCTGATAAAAGAAAAATTATAAAAATTTGCATTCTCATGAAGTAACCCGGGTCTGCGCACCGCTTGGCCCAATGTGATCACGTGTGCGTGGTGTGTACGTGTGCAGGCAAACACGGAGAAGTTGCAAAACTAGTTTGTCTATTTTTAGCCCAGCAGACACAATACAGAACAAATTATTTTGCAATCACAAAAATGCATGCCAATGTCTTAAGCGGAGCCCATAATATTAAATCAGGTTTTCCGTTTTTTGACGGCCTCAGTCTAATCATTCCATTCATATTATATTCGTCATTCGCGTGTAACGATTAGCCGATTGCCATACATGCATCGAATCGAGTGCATAGGAATCGATAACCTCAGATTTATGGAAATTAAATGCTAAATATGTGCAAGCGTGTGACTTCAGGCCCATGAAACCAACGGGTTAGATAAAGAGAGAACAAACAACATGAAGGCGCCCGCACAACCGAGGCAAAAAGAAAACAATACTTGATTCGGATCAGAACCCCCAACCATGACAGCACTGGAGCTCAGGACTACCAAGGGAGGTGAGCAAGATGCAAAACAATCATTGGCAGGGTAGAACTTTGACCTGATTATCGACAAACATAAATCAGGAGTTATAATTATTAGAATGCATAACGGATTGCCGTCTTTTGGTGGCGGTGTTTAGAGTGCTGCTGCTGCTGCTGCTGCAGCTGAGCTGGCAATCGACGTCGTCTCTTGCGGGGAGGGTCGTTCCCCCGTGTGACGATGCGAGGCTCTGTCGTCAGTGGGGAGTTACCGGAGCGGAGGCCTCTTCGCCTTGTGTAGTCACTCCCAGAGTACAATTGGGCTATAATCGATAACAAAACCCAAAAAATATATTTGTTTAAATGTCACTGCAACTCATTAAAACAATGAACATAACTGGTTCATTGTGAACCAACACTGTTCCCCAGATGCCAGTGCTTACCCAATAGAGCAAATGGGCCTTGCCACAGACACATGAAATACCCAGAGGATCAGGACCACAGAAAGAGATGCGGACCGCTCAAAGTTTATTTAAACAAAAAAAACTGGCAGATTTTTGTTTCCTCAATGGATAAACGGCTGTGGCAGTTAATCTGCATGTCTGTGAGACTGACATCACCTCTTCCTAATCTGGTAACACCCGCACCCCCTGTGATAATTGTTTTTTTACCCTTTTATCTGGCAACAAAACTGACACCTTTTTTTACAAGGAGTCATGTTTACATTGACCACAATACCTGCGGTCGAAACGCAAACAAAAAACAACTCTGATAATGTATGTGGCACTGTCCTTGAAATTGATTGGTCCACACCCGAGACAGCTTTCTTTAGAGCCTCGTCTCACATGGTGTTGGACCAGAAGACGCCAAAAGGCGCACAACTCAAAGACAATGCACCATCAGAGTATGAGAGCTCGGGGTAAGCATTTACACCATTGGAAACCTCATTTGCCAGTAACAAAATATAATTGTTTTTTTACCCTTTTATCTGGCCACAAAACTGACACCTTTTTTGTGTCAGTTTTGTTGCCAGATAAAAGGGTAATAAACCCCCACCCCCTGCTACAAAATTAGGAGTCTGCAAACAGCGTTACCCCAATCATCTCTTCCAGAATTTGTAAGACTCCGTTGCTGTTAACCTCAATTTCCTAAAACAACCCAGACAGCTGAAAGGGTCAAAATATTCCTTTCCTCTCATTAACGGTAAAAAAAAACTGAAATTAATCATTTATATTGTTCCTTATTGTTTTGGCTCGCAAAAGAAGCAATTTCAAAACTTGCTTTGCATATCAAGTCAGCACTTAAAAGATATGTTTGCTCCTGCTGATTACCATCATCTTCAGCTGCAGACCCACAAAGTGGTGCAGCCCTGCAAATGCCTGCTCACGCCACTGCTGGTAGTAGGGCCAACATTACAGGAATCTCTGGAGAAGCCCTCTACTGGGTATTTTTGGCCTACTCTTCAAAACTGGCCAGATGTCTTGAAAGTGGTTGGAGCACCCACACTTTACCCCACCACATAAAGCCTGCCGATCAAATGTGGTGTACACATTTATACCACTGGGTGTACAGAGGTGGGGTGGAGAGAGATGGGGGGGGAATTTAATCAACTTGCCCCATCATTTCAACGGCCGCGCCAGGAGATCACATCTCACTGCCGAACTCTGGATTGCAGGTCCAGTGTGCCAAGCATTACATCGCAGCAGCATCCCATATACCACTAAGTGCCAGTGTAAGATACGAACAGCCACGACTCAAAACGCGGCTCTCTTGACTGGACTGCAGTTCACAAATCTTGAAGCCACTGCCCGGCGTGCCTATAACCTGCGTAACACGCGAAGCACGCACACATGCATGCACATGCTTTAATGCCCGCAGCAACGACAGGCACCCACTTTCCGGGTGACGCAGAGGTAGCGCTTTGTCTTCGACTTGAACATCTTGTCTTTCCAAAGGTCGGCCTCCACGTTGTCGTCCGAGTTTAAGATCTGCAAGCAACACGGCGACACGTGCGAGGAGCCATCAAAAAAACAAATACAGGACCAATCAAACATCACCAGCGGTTGATGTAAATTGCCCGCTGGTTCCCTTGACGTGGTGAGATTTTTTTGGAACCGCGAACACAAACGCACGGCCGCAGTTTCGAATAGGACTTTTAAAACCTGTTGGCAACACGTGTTTACACACACACACACACCCCCGGCCTTACCCAATAGTAAGACAAATAATGAGGGCTTACCTTTACAAGTGACTCCGTGTACTAAAATTAGAAACAGTGGTGGCAGGTTTAAAATGTGTGCCTCGAACACACGATTAGTGCAGCCGAAATGATTGCAGTGATGGACATCTATCATTTGTGGGCCGTTTCAAAGCGGGAGGCCTCATGTGGCAGCAGGTCATATCCAGCCCATGAACAATAGGGTTGCCGACCTCAAATCTAGAATAACAATAAACTACATTTTTACAACGCTATTTGGCATGAAACCCCACTGTAAAGTACCTTCCTGCTCAACTTACAGTTATTCAAATTCACCCCAGTACCGCATTCCAAGGCTGACCTCACACAGTCATCACACTCACAATGCACGGTGTGACAAAACAAAAGAGAGGCATCACCAAAACTTTAATGGCAGATGGCTCCATGTTTGAAAAAATATGTCACCAGTGCCAGCCACAACGCTTAGGCATGACTGTAAGGAGATAAGATTCCAGTGGATGAAAGTGCCCAACATGAGTTGTACACAGTCCAATCAGTTCAGTCACGTATACAGATTATATTTAGTACGATGTGTGATTAAAAAGCTATATTAATATATACTAAACAAAAGTGGTAATTGTGAAGATACGGGTGTGGCGACACAAGCCTATAATCTAGTACTTTGGGGAAAACGTTTGGTGAATCACGTATCTATAAATAGTTTGAGATGCACCAAAACTCAGCGGGGGATGCAAAGGTGGCCAGGTGATGAAGTAGCCAATCATCCCAAACATCCCAACAGAAATCCTCCTGAATAAAGTCTTGAGACTCGGCGAGGCTTTCCTGAATAAATAAATAACAGTACCATTATCACTGGGGGAGCAGTGTTGCAGCGATTTGCACACAACACGCTATGAATCTGGTGGCCTGGGTTCTAATTCCTGGCCATGGCTAATATCAGCAGCGAGCGATTACTGAACCGGTTCTGTGCCTTTACACCACCCCTCTACCAACCGACACTGACCAGCATGGTGAAGCATGTTCAAATAACCTCCACGACCAGCAAGGTGTCGTGGAGCCTTTATCCACAGATTGACTGGTAAAGGGCTGCGTATTATACCGCGAGTATAATTACATTCACTGATTTGGCTTTTCGTCATGTTGCTGTCTCCCTATGACCGAATCATCCGGAATGTTGCTGATCTCGTAAGATCTCAGAAGGTAAGCAGGCCTAAGCCTTGAAGGCGCTTGGATGAAAGTCCAGCATAATCAAAACGTGTGATAAGCTTATTGTGGTGTTAAGTTTAAGGCAGCAGAGAGCAATGCGGCAAAATCCATAATTGTATAGTACTTCTATGCTCTCGCACCTATGCTCCCTACCTTTACCCACTCGTGCTTACCACCATAGTGAGGTATGGTCATATAACTCATATAGCTGGCACAGCATGGGGAGGCCCTCTTCCAGCAGTGGATTCCCAAATCAGCTGTCTTGACATTTTTTTTCTACCGCAAGCGTGACACTCAAGGATGGCCTATCCGGCATTGGCTGTGCTTGTCAGAAGACTGGAAAGCGCTTTGAAGGAGGCAATGGACGGATGAAGAGAGACCGGCAGCACCGAGTAAGCTGGCGATTGTGGATTTGTAATTAAAACAAGGAAATAATGACGATGGCGAAAAGACAACTGCGGAATGAACGCACCACCTCGTATCCCTGTGGAGCAGAGCCACGGCTGGCCACCATGCCGATGCCCGTGATGGGAGCCTGGGACATCTCTGGCAGGGCTTCTCTCAGCTCTCTCACCTCCGGCATCGCCTGACGAAGCACCAGCTCCTGCTACACACACACACACAAGCCAGGGGCGGTGATCACAGGCTCGTTACACAAAATACGGTTCACATGACAACTCACGTTGCTGCAAAAGCCAGTTTGGTGATTCCATTATCTGTAGAATGTTTAACGTTATTTCCTTATCACTCTTCTTCCCTATTAAGCATATTATTTGGTGATACTGCATTGACAGCAGTGCATGAGCACAATTAACAATAAACTCAACACAATTGTCAATAAGAGTGCCTTAAAAGGAAAAATATATAAAAGGTCACATTTCAAGCAAAGACTCCTCTTTTAGAGCACATGTCCCAACTAACATGGCGATTGTTCCCGTGAACTTCACTCATTGAATCCTCCACCCATGTGGAGGTCACGGTCTAGCAGACTCAAAGTTTATTCTCATTCACACTGTTCAATCACCACACTTTTTTTGTTGTGTTTAGTTTGTTGTCCTTCCCCGGCACCTCCGATTAGCATGGTTGGCTACGTACGGTGCCAAAGAAGTTCATCGTACATACACTGCAGGTCACGACAATTCTCTTTCTGCTTCTTCCCTCACTGTCCGACTGTGGAATTCCCTCCCATAGTCACTTTTCCCAAATTCCTACCATAACCTTGCTCAACTCCAGAAACCGTTTCACTATTATCTCTTACATCTTCATTCGTGTGGTTTGTTGTCGATGGCTTGGAATTTTGGCTCTGTGCTCAGCAAACAATCCAAGAGTTGGATTTTTTGTTCTGCCCTGAAACAAGGAAGTTGGAACAAAATGTGTGGAGGTTGAGTTATTTTCCTAGAACTAAGGTATGGAGTTTTTTTCCAAGGTACTACTGTTTTTTTGGAATGCCAAAAAGAAATCCATGCTGCCCCCAAAGGAAAGTCAAAAATTTACAAAATAAAGACCCTCCGGAAAGTGTCTTTCAAATAAATCATGACTAAAATGTTAAAGATGTCACGTGAAGGACTATTTTATGTATATGTTTACCCTTGAGACTATTTCCATTTTCAAGTTTCCTTTATTAATAATGATAACCGAAGTGTGCAGCCATCAAGTTTCCTGCAAGGACAGTACAAAGAGCAGAAGAAGCTAATGAAAATGTAACTGCTGCTAGACTTCCATTCATATTAAAGCTGCAAGACGTCATATGCATACCCTTGGTTTAAAGGATAAAAAAACACTTTACCAGAACCAGCAAAATCCCCAGTGCCCTTGCCTCAGTCAAACCCTGGATGTGTCACCATGACTCCAATAGGTGCTCACTAACAGAATTTTGCACAGCAGTCTAAAAGTCTACACGGGTAATCCTTTGGCATTTTGCGAGTTGGTATTTCACTTTGCATATCTTTAATAATTAAAAGGCCACTTAATGCACGTTGAAGTCATCGCAAAATGAATGCACTTTCATCTTAGGGAACGGCATCACGTTTCTGAATTTGCATACGCTAATCAGCACATAATAGGGACTTTTGAATGTTGTATACGAGTGAAGTATTAAATGGCACGGGGACATTTCAAAGAAATATTATCCTGGACCTCACGGATCTCGCAGATACACGTGGCTCCCTCTGAGGTTTCGATCACAATCACGTATGTGGACTTTTTCCAAGGTGCACAGCTTTGGGAGAACTTGAAAGCAACATATTGATGTGCATGCCGCACACATACATGACATTAAACTCGGACCAGTATTGTCTTGCTGAAATACAAAAAAATTACCGAAGGTTTCTTAAAGCTTAAAATAAAATCCCACCCCTCTACAAATAAAGGAAACTTAAAAAGTAACAGATGAACACACAGTCTCGCATAAACATGTGCAAATACACACTGGATATTACTGCATGACTTGCTCGCATGTTTTGTACCATACACATGCTTGTAAAGGCAGTATTTATACTAAATGCCATGATGCTGTGTTATTTATTTTTAAAACAAGCAGATCCGAGTTGTCTATTGCCTCTGCATTATCACTGGCCAAGTTGACTATATAAAAAAAAGAATACGTACAAGACAACAAAGGAAGAAATATGAAGATTTAAGTTGGTGCATCCCGCATTGTTAACAAACAAAAAAACAATGGACAATTATTTACAGAGCGTGCTAGTTGCGAGTGAGGCCACTTCCAGCCCAGCTCGTAGCTGTCACATCTGGCTTGTATTTGCCAAAAGATTCACTCTATGGGTCACCACTACGAGCAATGCAAGACCACAATGCGAGACTGCCCTCCAGTATGGCCCCCCGACTGTGTTATTCCTGCACGATAATGCACATAAACATAGGAGCCTGCTAAGTCTAGTAAGGGAAGGAGTAACAGTGGTTTTAGCTGGGCTCCAGAAGCTACTGTTAACTTGGCATAGTCCCGATATCCCCAGCCGGATGGTGGTGGTGCTGGTATGGTACAGTGCTTGGAAAGTTAAATTATTGGTAAGAAGTTGACTCGGCCAATAACCCCTACGGAGTTAATGAAGTAAGTACAAATTTGTGGGACATCAACAGTGGCCTCCCTATTGGAGGTACAGGCCCTGGCCAAAGGAATACGCAATTTTCATAAAGAGCACAGGGCTGCCAACAGAGATGAGCAGAGATCTATACGCATTTTAACAATTATACCCTTTTAATGCTATTGAAAAATATTTTTCGGAAACTCGATGGATTACAAATACACCATAATCAACAGCAGTTCTACAAAGAAAATTGCAGCCACTGAAGTCAGGGATATTGGACCATATATTTGTGTTGTGTCACATGGAAAACAAATGTTAGTTGTTTTACAAGTTAGTTGACTTTGTTCTCCACCATACGTTATTAGGGGTAAAGCATTTAAGTTGAAGTCAAGACTCCTCAACCCAACTGACACCAAGTTACAGTGAATTGCACACATAGCTAAAAGAATACGTTTTCAAAATGCATGCTGAACTTGAAAATATTAACCCATAAAACCCTTGGATGGGGAGACACTTAAGCAATTCATTTTCTATTGTTAGAGTTTGTTCAAAGGTTGTTCCGTGACGAAAGGAGTTTCTGCAACTTGCTGTTACCTTGCAGATTGATCGTGAAGGGGAAAAGTATTTAAATATATCGTAAAGCCTTGTAGACATTTCACTGCAGGTTGTGGTGCGTCTGCCTGTATGGGTGTGAAACTTTAGTTTTCAGTGGCATAGTGGTTCATCCGTATGTTCAATTCCTGGCCACATACAACGTCAATGGAATACGATAGCTGACTATAGACTTGGCCTTCCCTATACAGTGTTAACTTAGCCCTCAATGTCATAAGCGGGTAAGCATTTTTTTTAAAACCTCAGCGATTCTCAATACTTTCAGCCAATGTGACCAATTATTTTCCTCGTAAGTTTTGCACCTGGGAGTAAGAGTGGAAGAAAAAATAAACGCACACAGAACTTGTATCCACAATCAAATAAAGATATCTTGCTTATCAAAATAATTTACAGGCATTGCATATCTCAACATCCACCGACTGGCTCATTTCGGTCAAATAGTAATGACATAACTGTGATCATAAGTGCTTGATTTTTAGATGGGGAGGTGGGTCAAGAACCACTACTTTGCAGGAGTGCCCTTCAGAATTAGGCGAGGTCTCACCACGTTGCCACTAAGCGTCTGCTGTATGATCAAGTTGCGCTTAAGGGCACTTTAGTGGCTTTAGCCATTGCTCACCATGTCTAATGGATTTGCGCCCAACCCTGTCTTATATATACAGCATATAACGTATAAGAGTTGTTTTTTTAAGACACACTCCTGCCTATGCCATTACAAGGCGTTACTTACTGGTCGGACGTGTTGAACTATTGTTAATTACACTACGCTTGTAAATACAGCACCGACTGAGCCCTGAAATGTCACCAACACACATGTTAGAAGAGCACTGGTCAACACTTGCTTTTGAGTACGCCAGCGACAAACACAAACGAAAACAGCAAAGTATACTCTTGAACAGACTAAATTTCGATTTAAAGCTTTCGTGACTGCAAGGATTTATCTTCTTTGGTTCTTTCGGTAAAGTCACCACGTAGAATGAGAATAAAATAATAAATTGATAAAAAATAAAATTACGCAATAATATTCTCACGACGTTTCGGCCACAACACAAGCGGCCTTCATCAGGTGAAGGGACGAGACATCAGTGAGACATCAGTCCCGTCCCTTCACCTGATGAAGGCCGCTTGTGTTGTGGCCGAAACGTCGTGAGAATATTATTGTGTTATTTTATTTTATCAATTTATTATTTTATTCTCATTCTACGTGGTGACTTTACCGAAAGAACCAAGAACTTGAACAGACTGTTCGCGAGCACCTATGAAAGCCGGCACGGCACCATGAGGGAGGAGGGGGGTTTAGGTGGCTAGCATCGCGCACGGCCGCCTTTGTCTCCCCAATGCCGATGTGTTGTTATACACCGCACCAGGTACTCATTTGAGGCTGTCAACCTAATGGGTGGCAGAGGAACAGGGTTCGAATACTGCATTCGTCACCGATATGATCCCGTGAGCGGGAAGCGAACTTGGCTTGCCGGGGTCCTAAGTGCAGCGCGCTAGCCACCGCGCGTTGCCGCTCCCGACCTCGCACAACTTGCTGCTGTGCCGATCTACCTCGCCACAACACGTACAATTGACGCACTAACAAATGTAGCACACAACACACACTGGGACAAACATACGCTCGACCACACTGAAGATAAAACAAGAAATCGCCCCGATTCGTATCAACAAGAGTGCCGTACACAAGCGTAATCGAGCATAGCGCTGTCGATTTTAGCACGGTTGGCTACGTACGTTGCGAAACAAGTTTAACACGCACACATAGCAAATAATCCCTTCTTCGAGAATAAACACTCGTCTGCCAATTCCCTCCGCTAACATCAACAATCACCATCACAAAACGCCGCCAACCATCGCGCGCAGAAGATACACAGACGCACGCGGCCTAGCGACTACGGGAATCCCCGTACTTTCCTAAGCCGTGCTACGGGCCAAAGTGTGCCCCCGCCGGCAGAGACGCCGCACGCCGCCGGGGTGCACCCGAGATGGAGAACTCGACCGCGACAACCGGGGCGCCGCCAGTGTCCCGGTGCGAGTATAGGCTCACCTTGCGGGGTGGGAGAGACACTGGTTACTGTTGCCGCCTGCTGCTGCCTGCTGCTGTTGTTGTTGTTACTGCTGTTGCTGCTGTGACCCAGGTGGGACAGCTCTCATAGAGCCCGAACACGAGATGAAACTTCCTTCTGTGGGGCGGCATGGGGCGGCCCACGTGACCTGCTTAGCCCTGCCCACCCCCCCCGCTAGCCCCCCCCCCCCCGCTAGCCCCCCCCCCCGCTAGCCCCCTCCCCCGCTAGCCCCCCCCCCCGCTAGCCCCGCTAGCCCCCCCCCCCGCTAGCCCCCCCCGCTAGCCCCCACCTCCGCTAGCCCCCACCCTCCAGCCCCCCGCTAGCCCCCACCCCCGCCAGCCCTCACCAGACCCCCCCGCCCCGCGATCTTCTCACCAACAAATTGTAGTTTGTAGTGACGTGTAAAAAACATTTGTCAATATCGCTGCCTAAAAAGTAAAACATATATCCTATAGACGATGATGTTCCGGTAAATTGTCCTTCTTCATAGCACATATGAAGAAGGGACTGAAGAAGGGTCTTCATATCTACGTGCATAACTCATATTTCCCAAAACTCCGCCTAAAAACATATATATAAGACCCAAAGAGTATTTTATATGTTTTTTTAATGGTACAATGGTACAGTATATTTTTCAAGTAGTGGTACCCCAAACTTTCGCAGCTCTTAAAAATTCCCTTTTCACACCATCAATAGGTAAACTCCCCCTCCCCCCCGCGCCAACCGGCATGTGCACCCGCATGTACACCACCTCTATGCTAAGTCGGCCAATCAAATGCTAATTTTTATGCTAATTCCTTTGTCAAGGCACCTTGTTTCCTCACACACAGCTTAAAGGTCGCGGTCTGAGCGTGACTGTGTTTCACTCCAGCGCTGTCCTCGAGACAGCCTGGTCCCTTCACCTGATGAAGGCCGCTTGTGTTGTGGCCGAAACGTCGTGATTTTTGTTGTTTTATTTTTTATTTTTTTACCTACGTGGCTTTACCGAATAGAACCAAAGAGTATGGATCCTTGCAGTCACGAAAGCTTTAAATCTAGAATATGAATACAGGTTTTAATGGTTATGGCTTTATTGAATTACTTAAGCCAGGGGGTGTAAAGCCATTCATTTCCTTGAAAAGGGCCTAATAGAGCTTTCAATCACTATTGGCAGGTCTTGCTTGAGTTTAGGGGCCGTCCATAAATGACGTCACGCGATTTTGGGCAATTTTTGCCCCCCCCCCCCCTCGTCACACAGCGTCACGAAAAGTCAGACCCCCCCCCTCAAATATGACGTCACAAAGCTCTGCCGCCGCCCCCCCCCCCCCCCCCACAAAATAAAACATGCTTCAAATCGCTTTAAACTATTGTCATTGTAGTGCGTATTTAATGTGGCGCTGCACTCTGATGTTGTAGCGGAAAACATTTATTAAAACGTCTATTTAATTAAGTAGAACGTGTTGTCTATATTTATTTAAAGTTGCGCATTTTGATGTGACGTCACATTTCTCAACCCCCCCCCCTCGTCACACATCGTCACAAATGTCTGACCCCCCCCCCAGGTGCGTGACGTCATTTATGGACGGCCCCCTATACGAAACTTTGATGTCACTGTATAAATTGCATGCGTGCTAAAAACTACTTGAATAACAACGGTTGCATTGAGTGTTGCCAAGCCTAAAATAGTCCCCTTGAGACCCTGTCGAGACGCAAATCTGAATGTATTTTGTCCAAAGACTCAATCAGAAACCAGTTTTTCAGTCTGTTGTCTAGAAACTCCGTCAAGCACTGGTTTGTCAATCACTTTCTATCGTACTGCAAAGATCCCATTATCATGTTCTGTCAGTTCACCGTCAATAGATCCTCTCAGAGACCCATGTCAATCTATCGTCTAAAATATCCATCAGAGACAGGTCTCAGTCTAATGTCTAAAGACTACAACGGAGACTTTTAATTATTTGGGTCTTTCGGCAAAGCCACGTTGATAGAAAAATAATAAAATATTAATGAATTTGATTATTTTTTCTATCTACGTGGCTTTACCGAAAGACCCAAAGAATATGAATTCCTGCAGTCACGAAAGCTTTATAAGTCAAGATAGAGACTGTTTGATTGATCAGTTTATTGCCTGAAGACCCCATTGGAGACAATGCTCGTGTAAGTATATTGTCTCAATCACCAACATGGTCACATGTCAGATTCAGGAGCCGTCCATAAATGACGTCACGCACCTGGGGGGGGGGGGGGTCAGACATTTGTGACGATGTGTGACGAGGGGGGGGGGGGATTTGAGAAATTACACGTAGGTTTCATTGCCCCGCTCCCTACTGGCAGACTAATGCCCACTTGTAGGCTGGTGCTGAGTCACCTTGTGCTGCACAGGGACAGCTGCCACTGGAGGTGCCCTTCGAATATTTGAGATGTAATTTCATGTAAAGCACTTTGAATTTAAACTTATGCACCATTTAAATGCAAAGATTCTATTTTATCATGAGTATAGTTTAATCACCACCATCGTGCTTTTATAAGGTGGCTATGGTTGCCACCCTCCAGTATTAAAGTCCAATGCCAATCCATTTACCTTGCCCTATCCAGCGCGTGTTTCACCCGTCATCATAAAGCTATTCTTTGTGACATCTACGAAAAATTACATTTTACTATGTATTTCCAAGTGGCTTACATTTTTTATATCATGAAAGTTCCAGCATTTTCATCATACACCTGCATTCCACAGCCAAAATCTGCGTGATGATGCAATGGAACAAAAAAGATTGAAACTATTATTGGCGCACAGCTAGGATTTGTATTGAAGCTGCTCAAACAGAAGTTTAAAGCTGTGTTAATGAGAAAAATAATGTTAAGTCAGTCATTCAGCTGCAGCACCGTTGCAATACAGCCACGCTGGAGTTCTTTGCGCGATGTGGTGAGCTTCATGGCCCCAGCAACTCTGACGCCCAGTGCCCGGTAGCTTTTGTGCAGAATTTTATTTACACATTCAAATGTGTTTGCTGTTTCGTTGTACAGTATTTGAAACCACGTCTCCCTTGTAAAAATAACATCCTGAATTCAAATGACGAACCTAGTTTGAAGGTCTCAATAGCCATGGCTTTGCGAGTGCAGGGACCTCTATCTGAGGGGCCGTCCATAAATGACGTCACGCACCTAGGGGGGGGGGGGGGGTCAGACATTTGTGACGATGTGTGACAAGGGGGGGGTTGAGAAATGTGACGTCACATCAAAATGCACAACTTTAAATAAATAGAGACAACACGTTCTAAATTTTGATTTAAAGCTTTCGTGACTGCAGTAATTCATATTCTTAGTTTTTTCGGTAAAGTCACGTTGAAGACAAAACACGTTCTACTTAATTAATTAGACTTTTTAATGAATGTTTTCTCCTACAACATCAGTGTGCAGCGCCACATTAAATACGCACTGCAATGACAATAGTTTAAAGCGATTTGAAGCATGTTTTATTTGGGGGGGGGGCAGAGCTTTGTGACGAAGGGGGGGGGGGGGGTCAAAAATCGTCCAAAACCGCGTGACGTCATTTATGGATGGCCCCTCAATATAAGTGAAGCATCTGTTGAAATGTGATTTGAAGCTTTCGTGACTGCAGGGATTCATATTCTTGGTTCTTTCGGTAAAGTCACGTAGAAGGGAAACAATCAAATAAAAATATAAAAAATAAAATTCTCACGTTTCGACTGCAACACAAGCAATCATCATCAGGTGTGAAAACCACAAAAATAACATTTTTTAAAAGTGGCGGTTATTTTTAACGTTAGCACCACGGAGAGAGATTTGACAGTTTGTTTCCACATAACTTTGAGATCCTTCAACAAACTCCAGGATAAGAAGGCTCAGCTGATCGAGTCTCTCACGTTTCTCAAGAGATGCCACGACTCTGGGGTAATACCAA